ACAACTGTGTCAAACCCTGCTGATATGTCAGGTAAGATGGGGACTGAGAACTAACCAGTGGATCTAGCAATGGGGAGGCTGCAGTGACCTGGACACGGGTGGACTGGTGAGGAGTGGGGATGAACGTCTGAGAGGCAGGGCAGAAGAGATAAAGGAAAGAGAGGAATTGGAGAAGAGAACACTCACAACTCTGTTTAAGGAGCTTTCCTACAAGAAGGAGCAAAAACTGGGAGAGTCAGTAACTCAAAAGACAGAATCAATAGAAGGATGTTTTTCCTTGGTCAAATAAACAAATAAAATTGCAACAGACTCATAGAGACAGAGACCAGATGGGTCACTGCCAGAGAGGAGGGTGTCTGGGGGCTGGGTGAAAGAGGTGAGGGGTTGGGAAGTGCAGACTGACAATCACAAAATAGTCCTGGGGATGCAAAGTAGAGCCCAGAGCGTATAACTATGTATGGTTAGAGCTGGGGGCTGGGCGGGTACCAGAAGTATTAGAAGGAATGCTTGTATACAATTGTCTAATTACTATGCTATATACCTAAAACCAACACAAAGTAACACTAAAAATATTTAAAAGAAAGAAAGCAATCTCAGAATATCTGCTAATAGGAGAGCGATCATATTGCTGTAGTCACAGATCATTTTTAAGATTAAGAAGCCAATCAAAGAAAGTGAACATTTTATAAGTTTAGCAGTGTAAGAGTAGACAAAGTAGAATTAAGACAAAAAGCATCAAGTGGGATATAAGTTAAATACATATATTTGATAAACGATGAAACAAACTAAGAATGTGAAGAAGAATTCCCCAAAAGAATACTGCATCCAGATGAATGTATGGAGAAGATGGTAAAATCTTCAGGTAGAGGATCACATCTTTGCTATTAAACTGATCCAGACAACAAAATGAAGAAAAATATTTTAGTTCATCTGAACAAACTGGCAGAAATCAGATGCCAAAAACTAACAGAGAAGGCAAGTCGAGTCTCTGTTATGAAGATCATTACAAAAAGCCTAAAATAAAATGAGTAAATTAGTGGGGGAGGAGGAGTGCGGAGAAAACACAGACAACTATAATTGAACAATAATCAAATAACTGAAATTTAAAAATGAGTAAATTAAGGCTAGCAACGTGTTATGGAAAAACAGATACAGATCAGGCAGGCTTTACTCCAGGAATACAAGGATGGCTCAACACAGTAAGACTATAATTAGTAATATGGTTATTTAAAAGTACAAAAGATTAAAATGGTCTCATTGGATATTAAAAGAGCATTTAATATAAATTCAAGTAACATTCAAGATAACAAAAAACTCTTAATTTAGACAGAGAGGGGTATTACCTCAATATGATAAAGATACCCATCTAGAATCAAGAGCCCATGGAAACCATATATTATGATAAAACCCTGGAGGCATTGCTAAATACGTCCAAAACAAGAGCAAATGCTATCATCATTACTTTTCAGTAGTGTCCTGGAAATTTTAGTCCATGTAATAAAACAAGAAAAAGATATTTTTAAAAGCATAACTCAACAGGCTAAAATAAAAAATCCTTTAAAGTAGATTTTTTTAAGTTCAGTAAAATGGCAGGATGCCAAAGACATATATGAATCAATAGCTTTTCACAGACTAAACTGGGTAGATTCCTAATTAAAAATTCCATTTTCAAAAGCAAATCCTCTCCATTCTCCCTGCCAAAAAGCCCTCTTAGTACAGTGCCATCCAATAGAAAGGTAAGGGGAGCCACATATAATTTTAAATAGTCTAGTTGCCACATTTTTTTAAAGGTGAAATTAACTTTATATATTTTGTTTAACCTAATATATGTCCAAAATATTATTAGTTCAACACCTAATCAATATTTTTAAACAATTATTGAGATATTTTTGTTCTTTTTTTCATACAAAGCCTTCAAAATCAGGGGCGTTTGTGTGTGAACACAGCACACCTCAACACCGAGCGGGCACATTTCAAGTCCTCACTAGCCGCTAATGACCTGTGGCTATTGGCTTGGCCCGTGTAGCTCTAACAGACCTCGCTTTGTGCCTAAGAAAGTATGTGCGGGACCTATACACATGAAAATTCCAAAACTTCTAGAGAACTTAGGAAGCGATTTCAGTAAAAAGACAAATAAATATATGCAGATTTCTAGAAGGAAATCTCAATACTGTGAAGATCCCCCACCCCCAGATTACTATATAAATTCAAAACAAGACCAATCAAAATTCCAGTACTATTCTTTCTACTTTGGTGAAAGACTTCCTTTTACAAACAAGGAAGAGGCTGACCCTGAAGAGCAAGGCCACACACGGAGCAGGTGAGACATTCAAGGTCCAAACGGAACCTAGTCAGGTAAGAGCAGAGAGCCATTGTGCCTTTTTGGGTACCCAAAGCTTGTGCGGTTGCAAAACTCCAAGGGATGAATTCGGAGGTGGAAGGCAAGCCTCCTTTAAGGCATTTTTGTTTGGGTGTCCCATGGTAGTTGTAAATCTGGACCTGGAAACTGGAAATCACTGGGGTCACATACTTTGAACATCATATTCAATTAGGTTAGAAAAGTGCCAATTCTGTCATCATGTCGTAAAAAAGTGTGCTCTTCCCTCAGCTCCCTTCTAAAGAAGACTGCCCTGTATTGTTACAGATGCGGCTGCTTTCAATCAGCTACAAGGAGCAATTCAATTACCAGATGGTTTAGTGCAGTAACTGACTCCAGACTAATTTAATTTCTTTAGGTCTCTAAAGATCAATTGATCTGATTTGTCCCATCCCCAAAGGCTGTTTAGGAAAAATTCAGACTTCAATATCTGGGAATGAAATCCCAAACCTTGGCCGATTTCACACTACTTGGGTCTCGTTGCGGACATTCAGCTCGGACGTAAGATGCTCTCCCAGCCCTCCAACCATGGGAAGCCACTTGGCATGGTGTGTGTGCGCATGGCCCCTGAAATCAGGATGCTCCTTCACTGAGTGGGAGTGTGCCGCAGGCATCGTCCCATCTGTCATTCTAAATGGGCAGTCGGCCCGGGCACTCCTGTCTCGGGAGCATGTGGGCAGCCATGGGGCTAGTCTTGCTCCTGGTGTAGTTTAGGAAGACTCTTAGGAGTAGACTTGGATGGGGCAGAAACTAGGCTCATCTCCTAACAAGAGGAGCCTGCATTTATAAGCGCCTTTCATGAATGCCATCTTCCTTGGTTCTCATAATAAACCTGTGGAGTGAGCAGGGATATTGTCTCTATTTTCTAGATGCGGACCATGGACTCAGAGGTTCAATGACTTCTCCAGGATCCCTCTGCCAGTAAAAGGCAGAGCTGGGGCTCAAACCCTTGACTGTGTCTCCCAATAGAACACACGCACCCTTAAGCTGAGAGAGAAGGTATGACGTCCACTATGAAAGCACACCCCACGGCCCCTGCTGAGCCACTGTCTTCATTCTTGCTCGACACCTGGCTAAGACTGAGGAGGGTTCGCTGCTTATAATCCCATCTGTACCATAAGCCCAGTCTGAAGCGGAGCCTCTGGCACTCCAGAAATAGCTGGAAAAGGTCATGCCTCTCGAGAGCAGACTTTGTACATAGACTCATTCGTTACTCACACTGCTGATACCACATTCTCACCGGGCTGGGTCTCAAGGCCGATTTGCCCGCCTGTGACCCAGGGAACGAGAGAGCTGCCCACTTGCCCTTTCTGCTTTTGTGACGGATCTTCAACCACGAGCTCATTTCTTCCCCTAATCTGAACATCTCCCAACCCCTCATGAGGCTTTCCCACCACGGAATCTTTTTTTCTACTCAAGTCCCACAGTTCCTGCCCAACTTTCAGCTTTTCCCGCTGGCTTCTCTGCCTCCCCACTGAGCCTCTCCATATCTGCTCCCCCAAATGAAAGCCACCCCACTATGTACTGCCATGTGGGAAGGCTGAGGGAAGGATCAGACAGGTGTTGCTAAAACATGTAATTTTTTAAAAACTTGAGCTACCAAGGCAAGTTGGGAAGAAGTATCCACATGCAAGCTAACGAAGAGTGTGGCAAAGTGTAGCGGTTGGTAGGAAAGTCACATAAAGATCTGGAGGTAAGATCAGACAGAGGGCTGGTGTTGGTACCCCTCCCACCCATAAAGACTTCAGGCCACATAAAAGAATAAACACAGAAGATGGATAAGGTCTGAGGATCTAATGTATATCAGGGTGATTAGAGTTGATAATACTATTGCATAACTGAAATTGGCTAACAGAGTAGAACTGAACTGTTCTCCTACATACTAAAAGAAAATCTAGTAAGTTACATAGTATGTGTAAGAGATGCAAATAATCATGTTAAAAAAATACCTCATCTCTGAAACACATACTTTTTGACACTCCTGTTAGGCAAACCATGGATCCCAACATAGTCAGGACTGAACACAGAGATGGCTTCACATTTAACCATTCAAATTAAGTTAAACGTGGGGTAAGTTCCAGGCACAGGATTGTCACTCGTCCACTTAAAGGTCCTGAGGTCTGACATCTCTCCTATTAAGTAGAAGCAGTCCAAGCTATTGGTCAAGTATGTGCCTTGAATTAAATTACATCGCCCTTTATTTCAAAACTCCGAACTGCCTTTGTACTCTTCACGTTAGCAAGTCCCTCCAGTTCAGAGGCAGAAGCTATCAAGATGCCATTTCTCTGCAGATTGCCACTCAAGACGTACAGCTTAATATCATCAAGAGGACTGAGTCTCTGATAACAAAGGAGCCCTACTTTTTACAGTTGAATAAATGTCCTGGCCAAAGGAGCCACTTCACTCAGACACTGAGCACAGAACAGACCCGGCTGCAGCAGCTGTCAGAACTGAAGCACTTGTGTATCTACAGGGTTCATAACGAGAAGGGGAGGGGCAGCGACATGGAGATTATAGACAGTGAGGGTACAGTTCTTTGGCGTTGAAAGGGGTGTGTTCTTACAAACTCGCTCTTCTCTTTATCTTATCTGGACAAAGAAAGTAAACAGAAAATTCTCATTACCTCTCAATGTCAGTAAGCCTGGAGGAGTCTCGAAATCCTTTGGCAAAGGGGTTGCTGTCTATTTTCAGCTTGGTTATCTGGAAGGGGAAGAATGCGTAACACAACAATTATCATTTCTGAGGTTCAGGAAATAAAATCAGAAATAAAGAGTGTGTTCATTTTCCATTGTGGCACCCCAAGAATACCCAGTGTCTCTCATGATCGTGAGAAAGGTCAAACTTGCTAGAGTGTTCACAGGAAGGGTGGACGGGATGGGGTGGGATGTTGGGGAAGGCCCCAGAGAGAAGGAGGTATCTGAGAACAGGCTGGAGGTCCGTGGATAGAGACAGTCAGGGCTGGGGGCCTTTCATGAACAGCGTGGCTGCCGTGTGAAGTGTTTCAGAGAACCAGGGCAATGCTGGGGCTCCACCGGGGAGTGGGGGAGCTGTCCAGAGGGCCAGAGTCGGTGGAGAATGGGGCATAAAACCAAGAACGTTGCCTCATGCTGACTTGGCAACATCATTTGTTAATATCGCAGGCACATATAGACACCATCATGGTTAAAAAAAGATTAAATGGCCAATAATAGCTTCATGTTCAATGCTATCTTGAGATACATGACATAAATATAGGCTATAGAGCTTTCAGAATATAATTGTACCCCAGTATGCCCTTCCATCTTACTGAATTAGACTCAGATGAGTCGGCCTTTTGCTATCCACCCCTGCAATGTTATTTACAGACTCTATAGTCACGTGGAAAAAAATTACTTGCTAATAAGAATCATGGTCTGAAGTATTATCTATGCTATGCTAGCCATGGTCCCCACATTATTAATATTAATGGGAAAAGATCTATTAAGTCACATGTACTGCATCTCCAAGAATAATAAATCAGGCAACGAAGCAAAAACAAAGAAATAAATAAAGGAAACACCAGTGAAAACACACTTGGCTGGTAAAATTCTGAGTGTTGAACTGAGAGGGACCTAGGAGAACTGACAAAAAGAACCACAGACCCCTTTGGAGAGAGTAAATCCTACTCTGAGAGCCCACGCTCACATCATTAAGAGAGCCCAGGTCACTCTTTCCCAGTCTTAACCTGGGAAAGAAGTGGCAGGTGGAGGTGTGTCCCTCTTTCCAAGTGAGGAGCGCACATGAGCAGAACAGTCTGACGTGCTGTTTCACCGCAAGCGGCTCTTCCTCGGATCTCATTGGATCTACTATTCACTTCAAGCCATTAACACCTAAAGAATGGCTTTTGTTAACACAAAAGAAAGGTGTTTTTTTCCTCTTTCAAGTTTTCCCCATGTCAGCTAACCAATGTACACGCTGCAAAGAAGCTACTTACCTCACCTACAGCAGAAATTCCCACACTATCTGGACCAGAGAGCCTGCATTTCTCTGCCATGACCACTGGTGAGTAACAAGGTTGATGCTTTGATAATATTAATTTTGAGGGCACCTGATAACACCTGAGAAGTGCTCAATGTTTGGCCCATGAACATTCATTCTAGACCAGCCAAAAAGAAATTTGCTACTTTTCTTTTCAGCTCAGTTAATGGAAAATGGAACACAGGGAAGGAACTAAAATAGATAAATCAGAAATCTGTTCTTAATGGATAGCAACAGCCACTGGGCAGATGCATAAAAGGAACAGATGGGGACCCTTGAGGTGGCCTCTAAAGTGTGACCATCAGGAGTTTGTAGAGAGCCTTCCCTCACACGCAGCCACAGAGCCCAGAGGGGTGGAGGTCTGTGTGAACCACTCTCTCAGAGCAGGATTTACTTCTGAAGGTCAATTTTCGAGGAGAAAAGTGTTATTTGTTTGAAATAAATTTAAAAACATTCTAAAGCCCGAGCAACCATTATGTTCCAAGATTATTAACACCACCAAGACTTTCAGTTCAAAGACGGGAGCTGTGTATCCTTCTCCTGGATCATTATAAGGTAAAATATGTCCCTGAAGTGCTTTATAGTTCAGGAAACAGCTTTTGCCACAACTCAGGGACAGAGAGTTAAGAGAGACTGGTTACTTATCACACCCTCTGGGAATGTTGGGTGGGACAAAAATAAGGAACACACGGTCCCTGCCCTAATGGGACTTCAGATCACATGGAGCAGGCAGAGGGACACACGGCTGGCCAGAACTGAGGTGACGTGGGTTCCAGGGAAGAGGGTGGCATCACACCCCTGGCAGTGGTCCAGATGTTCTGGGTGAGCCGAACCCAGACGGAAATCTCAAACTGAAGCTGCGAGATGAAGCGATCAAGCTAGGGCTTCTTTTAAGCTCAATTACTTACCACAAGCTCATTTGTAAAGTTACAAAGTAAATGGATTTACCAATGAATAACATTTTCTGCAGGCAACGGCAGAAAATAAATGCATCTGCTGTTAAAACTGAGGACTCTGCAGTCAGAAAAAGACAAATGCCATACAATTTCACTTTTACGTGGAATCTAAAGAACAAACTAAACAAAAATATTGAAATAGACTCATAGACACAGAGAGAAAACTGGTGGTAGCCGGGTGGGGGGCTGGAGCACTGGGTAGAAGAGGTGAAAGGACCATGAGGTACAGACTGGTGGTTACAAAACAGTCACAGGAAAGAGAGTGAAGCATAGGGAATATAGGCAATGATATTGTAATCACAGTGGCCGGTGCCAGCTGGGGCCTGGAAGTGCGGAGGGAGAACACTATGTAGAGTATAGGACTGTCTCACCACTGAACTGTATACCCCCAACCGATACATCACAGAATAAAATACAAATAAAGAAAAACCAAGGACTTTGAAAGAAGTGCTTTTCCATCATCCCTCTAAAATGTGAACCGGGTTAAGCTTTGTTGGAGTGGAGATACAAACTCAAAGGATGAAAAGTATTATCTCTCTGTGATAATTGAAGAACGACTTCTGACCTACTTTGTCTCTGGAAAGAAATTGTGGAAACTGCAGTTGTTGCTTGTAGAGCTGTCGTGGAGGATAAACACCCCCACAGCGTGGGGTCCATCTGCCATCACCACACCTCACTGCCTTCACTTTGAATTAGGAGGCGATTTAAATTCAACATCTGTTTTCCGATTTCGTTGGAATTTTCTTTCATCATGAAATTTTCTGCTTCCTCTATCTTAAACACCTCCTTCATAAGCCCCCGGAATAGCCATGGTAAAGAAACCTTTACCAGAAAAAAGGTAAAGAACCTTTTTTCTTTACATTTTGATATGACTTCCAACTACAGGAAAGTTTGGAGATGAGTACCAGCTGAGCTCCTACACCTGACGTATCAGTGGGCTGCAGCGACGATTTAACCTGAGTGCACTACTAATAAAAGGAGCGCAAGAAAACAGCCAGGTATCCACAGTCTCTATGGCCCGTTTATCTAATTCCAGGGAAAACAATTGCTTTTGGAAGTTGGAGGAAAAAAGCTGAATGGAGCTCTTATTACTGAAATGCTGTGGCGGCCTGGATTAACCTCCAACCTCGAACAGGTTTCATGGAGCACAGACGGGCAGCAGAGGGACCACGGGTTAAAGTCCTCAGTGAGCCTAGGGTGCCCCTGCACTATCACTAGGCTTGGAATCCACTGCAGTGCTAACAACGATCACCCGGAAGCACTGGTTGGTTGAACTCTGCTTCTGGAGAAAGCAGTCAGAACCATGACTCCGTCTTCCCTCTAGTTACAGACCGAATGAAACTCTGCTTCGACCTACAGGAAAAGCATTGTCATTCGAACTTCAGATAAATCTTAAGATTTCAAACTTAGGATAAAATAATTTTTAGCAAAATGTTAATATTCTAGATAATCATGCCTTTTTAAAGGTGAGGCATTATATTTTATTTTCCCATGGATATTTAAGTAAAAACCAGTGGTTACACAGAAATTCATTTCTGAAGGTACCGTCTGACCTCCCATTAAGACAAGGGAAGGTGCCGCACACTTGAGAACTGATGAGAGAAGGGATTTCAGTCACACACAGTGATTCAGCTGGACCACACTTTGTCCTTGACATAGAATACCAGCCTCTTGTGACACCGTTAAACAATGTCACCCTCGTCAAAGGCAAGGACCCCAAAACAGTCAAACACCAAACATAACATGCATAGTCTTGATCACCCAAACCACAGGTGTGGTTCAGAATTCAAAACTGCATTTTAAGGGCAGCAGGTCTTTCATTGGACAAGGAAAAAAAGCACTACTAGGTAAGGACAGCACTTTGCGCAGAGGAAACTCTGTCGTTTAGTGCCTGTCCACACACATGCACATCGCTAACTCAGGCCAAAACACGCCCATTATTTCATGCATTGAATTAACAACGTAGAACACAATGCAGGTCCTAACCTAAAAATGCACCCTTTCAGCATCTCCTTTATCTGTAGATGAATGTGCGCATGACTGCAAGGCAGCTGTGCCAGAGAGAAGGGGACCTTCCCAGTGGTTGACATTCCACATGACATCACTGGTCTCCGAGTACAGCGGGGGCTCCCAGCTGCAAGGTGAAATTGGCCCTCCGAGACCATCTCTCCAATTATCAGGAAAAGATCTGTCCGAAGGCATTTAAAAATGAAACCTGACCTACACTTCAACTCTACAGCAGTGGTCTGCCTGCTCCCAAACCAGGTATGACCTTTAAGTCTTAAATTATAAAATAGTTTGTTGAAAGCATAACGTATTTAGCTTTTATCTAATAAGGTAGACAAATGCAATCATTTCCTTGCCAAAACCAGAGGAAAAAATAGTAAAAAAAAAAAAAAAAGTTCCATTTTCGTTACTCATAAATAAAAATACCAGCCACAGTAAAAGAAGCTTTTTCACAACTCTATAGGAAACTTGGATTTGGCTTTTAATAGATTTAAAAATAACAGTCCTATCTAAAGTTTTAGAGTTATGAAGGTGATCCATCCTGAATGAGTTTTAAAATATTCTTCGTCTCTCTTCTCTCTACTCTGTGCATAGAAAAATTCTAATATTTCTACTATCCTCAGTACATATTTAATTTACTTCCTATATATTTATTTTATCCTGTGTTTGCCATAAGATAACCAGTACACAAACAAGATATAATAAGGAGAAAGCAGCCGAGGCAGAGAGGCCTAGACAGAATCAAGGATAACTTTAGAAAACAGTATAGGACTAAAGAAAATACTCCCAAATGATTTATTTACCCCATATATGTTTTTCACACATGAATTTTGATTGGTCTTAGGAGGTTTATAAATGATTTCAAAACTGGCTTGAAACCCAGATCAAATCTTTGATTATTACATTTTTTTGTCCTTTGCTCAACTATTACTTGAATTTCAATTAAACACACAGCGCTGTGCTACTGGTCAAGGTTTTAAAGGTAGACACATAGAAATAAACAGACTGTTTGAACCTGGCAACACTGCCATTTCAGTTTCCAAACCTCGACACTGACAGTGGTCCCTTCTTCCTTGGTCCTGCAATCGAGCACAAGGCCACCAACAAGGAGGAGCTCAGACCCTGGGGACGGTTCTGTCACTTTACCAGGTTTGTGACCTTAGGCAAGGGTATTAACTCCTCTGACCCTGCTGCTTATTCGACAGAATGGGGCCCAAGGGGGCCTTCTGCAGGGGATTAGTGTCAGAATTAAACAGAATCGTGAGAAAAAAATGTAGAGAGATTTTTCTGAATTAAAACTAATACATCCAACCATAAACTTCAATCGGATCCTAGTTCAGAGAGGAAAATGGGTAATAAAAGACATTTGTTGGTCTACCCTGAAGATTTTGATATGAACTGAATTTTAGATGATATTAAGGAATGTCTTACTACTTTTCTTAGCTGTGATAAAGACACTGTGGTTACAAAAACAATATTCCTATTGTCCATATGTACTTGTAGAAGCATTCACAGGGAAAGCATCATGCTGCACACAAGTGAGTGGGTATCAAATGATGACGGCGGGGAGAACGGGTCCATGCAGAAACACGGGGCAGAGGCAGTCAAGGGGCATGGTGTTAATGTTTTTAATCTGGATGGAGTACAGGGTATTCACTTTACCATTTGTGTAACTCTTACATATTTGAAGATTTTCTAAATAGATAGTTGAGTGGGACAAAAAGCATCAAAAGAGATAACATCATTAGCATGCGTGGCCCCTCTTGGACACAGCCGGTGCCAGTGGCCATGCTGACGGCCAGGTTAGGACGGCTGCCATCTCGTCACACTGGCGCGTAAGCGGGAGCACTTGTTGAAAAGAAAAAAAAAACCGAACATGACATGAACCTAAAGAGTTGAAATCCTCTGAAAAGGATGTCTTGGAGTCCATCAGGGTCACAAGCCAGGAGGACGCCAGGCATAGAGGTTAAGGACACTGACCACCTGGGGTCAAACCTGATGGGTGCAGGACGGTCACCCTGGATGAGTTATTTAACTCCATGCCTCCATTTTCCAGCTGTATGGGTGACATAAAAATACCATTGTCCCTATCACATAAAAGCATTGTGAAGATTAAATAAAACAGTGCACTGTGAAGGGTGCCTTGCACATAGGAGGGACCCAATATTAGCTATTACTGTAACTATGTAGATGATGACCCCTCGGCCCATGAACTGTGATGGGAGAGGTCCTGCTAACATTTACTCTGCGCTGCTCCTTCGCCTGGTAAACCGCATCTAGATGTTATTCTGTGAAACTTCCTTTCATCTTGCTTTTATTCTTTAAAATAATTAGTATGATAGCATTTGGGCATTCAGGTATCTCATTATAAAATATGCCCCTGACATTTTAAAATGCAAATGGTGACAGATCCTCTCTGGACATTCCAGAGACAGTCCAGTAATAACCACAGGCCTTATTCACAGAGCACCATGTCCAAAGGCACATTTACCAGCAGCATCTGGTCTGGTCCTCCCAGGCATCCCCGAAGCCGGTCTGGGCAGTCTCAGCCCCGGCTCACAGGGAAGGAGAACAGTGGCCACAGTAAAACCTACTCAGGGCCCTACAGGAACGACAGGGACTCGCGTCTCACAGACACAGGTCCGCCCCAGCATTTGCCCAGAGCCCTGCTCTGGGTCCCACTTCCTCATCTGAGCAGAGCTACCTGAGCTTCCAGCTTCATCATGGTGCTTTTCCAGAGAGACCCAACACCCTGGCTCCCCTGACTGGCTGTCCCGCTCCGGACCCGACAGCACCCAACAGTTATTCACTCACAACTCAAACCGTAACAGGACAGGCGGGGAGTGGTACCTCTGCTACCCATAACCAATCAAATGACAGCCAGATACAAAGGGCCATACCCTACCAGAGAGGGTATGAACTTGACAACTGAACTTGTCAAGTAAACTGACAATGTGAGTTTCTTCGGTGGAAAAGAAACCCTACTTTGGTCCCTCCAGACTGTGGAAGAGCTACTCATTGTCTCTGAGCTTTAGCATCCTCACTGCAGAATGTTACCTTCATCCCTGCCTCCAAGGCTGTGCTAACCAGGAATGAGGAAAATATACGGGGAAGTACCGAAGAGTACCCAGCCCTTACTAAGACTTTGATATTTATTGAATTGAACTAACCTTATGGATAAAAAAAATGGGTACGTTTTCAATGTGAGGTACAACAGAGATTAGAAAATATATAACTCAATATTATCAATTAAATTTCTTGATAGCAATTAAACACACACTGCTTACATACTATCATTTATCTAAAGAAACACTTAAAATCATTCTACTAGAATTAACATACCCTAACTTACAGTTGAATAAGCCTTACAAAAATATCCAAAGTATCAGCACTTTGGGCAGTTGGCTAGAATATGTGTGATAATTTAGCAGAAAAACGGAAGTCCTAAATTTTGTGGAGCAATCAGCGCATGGATGATTACGCACGTTATGAGGCTCTACCAGGAAGAGGAAAAGGAAGCAGGTAATTTCTCAGGAAGAAATTTGAGAAGCCAAAGGGAATCAGGTTTGAGTGAGAGCATGAGTGGTGGGCAGCCCACCCGGAGCACAAAGATTTTAGACCAGATGGTGTCATCCAGACCTTCCTACCTCAACACTGGCAGGTTCCGGGGCTGATACTCAACAGCTCTCCCCAAAGGGAACTGCTACTTTAAGTACCAGGATAGCTGTTCTCGCCAAGAAAATGAAAGAGCCTCCTAAGTCCTTATCTTATTTGGGACATAAATTGTGAATGGAGCACTCACCAGTTGATTCTGATAGGCGGTGACTGCTGTAAAAACGGTCTCTGGAAAGATGAATGTTCGGAATTCTTCTGACTTCAGGTTGAGCAACGAGGCCGTGTGGTCTTTCTTCTTAATGATGTGCACCCGGGGCTGGTACTTGTGCATCGAGTTCAAAATGATCTACAAGGAAGAAGGGGGAGGTACTGACTTTCAGGTATTGATATTGCTCAACGGGCCAAATTACAATCTGGGGAGAAAGAACCATAAAGTCTGCAGTTTCAAGTTCAGGTTCACAGCAAGATCTAGCCTGTTCCATTTTTAAAGAAAATCACTTCCCCCAAGATACTGCAGAGTCATCCTTGTAAATCACATTTTACCAAAAGAAGTGCAGATAATACAGGGTGTTTCAAGTATCTTTTCTAAAGTGATGCAGGGAAGGTCATCTGGAGAGTAAGCTTTATTTATTTTTAAATCAAGTCTTTAAAACATTTTTTGTTTATTAGTCTCGTTAGACCAAAGGATGTACATGTACATTTTCTGAAGCAATAAGTTTTATATGCTAGGGGGACAGATTGCTATTTACTGGGGACAGAGGGAGGAGTGGATTAAACAATTTAGAAAGACAGTGTGATATTAAACAGATCCAGGGTAGAACACTGAATCTGCTACTTTCTAGCTCTTTAATCTTGGGACAGGTGACCTCACCTCTCTCCAACCTCAGCTTCTCAAACACAAACCAGTATTAACCTCACAGGGTGTGGTGAGGATTCGATGATGTAACCCTTATAAATCACATAGCAAATAGGAAGTCCTCAAAAAACGTGAACTTTATTATTATTGTTGATATGGTTGGTTCCTGACTTCCGGTTATAAACTAAACATGAGTGATAGTGATGGCCATCTTCCACTCCATAGCTCATAAAAGTTGCCCGGTGTTTAGAAATCATAGCCTACCCTGGTCAACAAGGCAGTATTTTTTCATGTAGCTTTTAAATAAAATACATTAATTTGCCACTATGAAATATGTGCCACAAAATTCACTGTCAGATACAAAAGGTTTTCCACATCGTCCCCCACCCCTACTCCTGCCCCGCCACCCAGCGAGCTACCTAAATCTCCAAAATACAGCATATCTTTCCTGGCATACCAGGCCTCAAGCAGTAGGCCCTTTACCCCAAGGGCATAGCAGAGAGCTTGGCTCTCAAGAGAGGTGTTGTATAAATGCTATGGCAGGACCAAGTTCAAATGCACACAAGCGCTGTCGCAACCAATGGTTAATTCCCTTGTTGGCCTGGCTAACATGGGTGTAGGGGAGGAGGGCTCCTGCTAGTTGACTTTACTAGTTCGCAGTGGGAAAACTGATACAAAATCAATCTCTCTCAGTGCTGAGGCGCAAGCCAACTTCACATTCCAGCGCATTCACTGGCACTGAATTTTGTACCTGCCATTTTTTTATGACCCTAAACCTGAGTAGGCATATGGGAACACATGAGAGCTTTAAACACACTGAAATGAACTTTAAAAAGAAAAGGTCTTCTCATTGTATAGTGTGTGTATTCTAAGGAGTTCAGGGTATCTGTGCTCAGTCATAAAACTGGAATAATCTTGACGTGAAAAAATACTGATAAAAGAAAATACCTGAGCATTCATGACATGCGCTACTGAGAAGAGAGAATTTTCAAATCACACACACAATGGGAGAAGCCCAACCTTCAAATAAGGTCCTGGCTCCCCTTCTCACACCACCCCAAGGTCAATTCCCTTTGAGAAAAGGTACCAGAGAGACTCCAACCTCAGAGCAAGCCTCAGACTCCCGGGCTCCTGGACTCTCATGAGGCCAAGGAACACTAATAAAAATGTGGACTCTGCTTCATCTTACTTCCAAACAAATTCCTGGAAGTAAGAGTTTTTCCTGTTATAAAACTAAAAGTGCGTCGGTAAGAGGGGCTTCTTCAGGACTAATTCAGAGAATGTGGCTAAAAAATCTCCCCTTGTCTTCTCCAGAACACACTGTGGCTGGTGGCAAAGGGTTGTATTAAATAATAAGATTTTTAAGTCAAAATGGATATTAACAACCTGAAACTAAGCGATTTGTCCAAATCTAATCTCATAACCAGACTAGAATCCAGAGCTCCGGAAACACAGTGAAGTGCTCACCTACGCTCACCTGTGAGGCTGAAGGGAAAGCCCATCTGTCAAACTCTGGACAGCTGATCTCAGAGTGAACTTCCGAGTCTTCCCGGAAAGACCCAGGGCTCAAAAAAGCTTCACGCAATACTAGAACCTTTAACATTTTTCAAGTCTCCCCGCAAAGGTTTCAGTAGAGCCCAAGAAATTTCAACATGGCTGACATTAAGAAGGATCAGTGGCCTACAGGAAATGTCTCTCAGATACTTTATAGGTTTTAACCTGAAAAAAATATATGAATGGAGACATCTCTGAAAAAAAAGGGACAATTATGCCAACACTGTCCGGTCAATTATGTTTTCCAACATGTGAAATAACAGAAACCTGCTCAGCTACTCCCAGCATCCGAACAGCAGCAGCAGCTGAGTCACAGATTAACCCACTTACACTAACTCAGCCGTGATAAACGAGGGCTGCTGTGGGCTCGTGGAGGTCGGCCAGGCCTGAAGCAATTTATTTAGTTTCAGGTTCAAGCCAACCATTTGAAACCATGCCTAGAACCTCTATTTATTATCTACTTACAACCATCTTTTCTGGAAAAATGTTTTGAAATTCTTCTAAATTGCACAGACCCAACACAAACTAAACCCTAACGTAACAAGAGCCTAAACTAAGGGAATAAGAGAAAAAAGAATTGTATCAGTAAGCCCCAGAAGCAACTAGAAAACTACTAATGTGCTTTGTGTCAATTAAGGCAAAAAAAAATTAGTATTCTCATCAAAAAGAAGTATGAAAGTCTGTCCAAATTTCCTTAGATTTACATAAAACAGAAGTTTCATGTAAATTTTTAAGAGCACAGATGGTTGCTTCAAAAGCAATCTTATCAAATGTGCAAAGGCCCACGTCAGTAGCTATTTGTTCAATTAACTATTGATAACAGCACAGAATTCTCGTTTCCCCTTTTCTACCTTTTGATGAACTCAGACTCATCAAATTGTTTTGTTTTTAATTGCAAGACTCCTCTGTGCCTTACTATTCATAAGACTCTCTACAAAGGGGATATATACCGAGTACAAAGCACTCTCCCAAACTTATTTAGACATCATTTCAAATGGTTGGCTTTAGCCTGAAACCAAATAAATTGCTTCAGGCCTGGCCAACCTCCACGTGCCCACAGGAGCCCTCGTTTATCTCGGCCGAGGCTGCATAACCAGGTCTACTCAGGACTCTGCGGGCGTGCTGTTCAGATGCTGGGAGTAGCTGAACAGGTTTCAGACTTATTTGGACACAAAACCCTTTTGTTCTTCCGCATCTCACGTGAATGTGTCCATAGAACACACTTTAGCAACCCCCATGGGGGCATCTCAGCCCCGTTCCTTTTATGCTGTGTTATCTGATAGACCACCGACAGAATTCGGATGCTTAAACCACGATCCAGCTGGAGTAGCCTCCACAATTCACCTTCTCTTCGTTTAACTGGTGTGGGTGCAAAGCAGTTTTTGAAGTCTCAGGAAATCCATGGTGCTGAAGGCCCCCAACCCTCTTGCACAGAAATGGCCTCCTGGCAACACGAATACAGGAAGGTCCTCATAGAGTGATTCGGAGCTGAGGGTGGAAGGGGTGGAGGGAGAGGAGGAAAGCAGCACTGGGTGGCTTCTCCATTGCACCCGAGGGCACTCACTCCAAGGAGCTGCACTTACGTGGCCGTGTTGGTCCAGTTCGTTGTTGGTGAGTTTCACCTTTTCGAAAGACACCATCTGTTTGAGGAGCTGCTCACCCGTGAAAGGAGAGTCTGGGTGCACGTACAGCCTGAGAGAATTGGGAGATTTTATTGAGGCATTTAAAAAAAATCTGTTTTCTGTGGTTTATAAATTATTCTGATTCTAAAGGAACACAAAACTCCCATATAAGTGGTGGATTTTATTTACTCCATATAATTTCAAATTTAATAATACAATAACTCTGAAACCTCTGTTTCTTTATGTGTCAATGATCTAAAAGGGAAAATACTTAATAAACTTTATTATCTGTTGAGCAAACCATTTTTAAAGATGGGTTTTTTTTCTACATAATAGGCTACCGGGCCACTTCTGTAAAATATAAAATCTCATTGGTAAAGGTATTTTCAAGAAAGATTAGGCTATATTAATTGCATAATGAGGTTCTAGGTTAGGCATTGCTATGAAGCAATGAAGACATAAAGAATTTAAAACAGGAAAGAATCCTACAGAATCCATTCATTTAAAATGGAAGGTGACTGGGTTTCAAGTTTATGGTCTTAATAAATACAGGACAGAGTAACTTTAATACAGTGAGCTGGAAATTCAATAACCCACACATCATAGCTGGTTGCTCCTCCCACTACCTTCAATGCTATTTCTTCCCCCGTCATCTTGTTAAATCACGAGAATGAAAACAAGCTGAGTAAGCTTCAGTTATTCAATGTATTTGTAAACAACCTAAGTCAAAAATGTATTTATCAAGCATGTATCACCTATTGATCAGGTGCTATGTGCAAAACAATACTTTCAGTTAAACGCAGGCCATGTGTCCTGCCTGTGAGTACCCCACTAAGTACAGCTCCTGGTAATTCCCAGTCGTGGTTTCCATATGACAGAAATTTTTCTGAAGTTGGGGGAGATCACAGAGCCGATGAGCAGGGAAGGAACTGTGCTGGATTCCACAGGTAACAGGTAATTCATATCTGAATTTTGTATAGGACCCTTATAACTCTAATCAAACATAAATATTACAGTTGGCACCAAGGCAAGAAAAAAGGACATGAAACCTTTCCTTGCAATGTTCACGTGAAGAACCAGAAGCCTGTGCTGTGGTTTGTCACACAGAGGGCGAAGAACGGAAGAACTGGGGGCAGGTGCTGAAACGAAGCCACCAGGAGCAAAGCAAAGCAAAGGCTGACGGCCATGGAAACTGTTACTAGACCCACGCAAGAACCAGACGGGTGTGCGGTGTTTGTTTGCCTGCCTGTTTGCACGACTTTTTTTAGCACGAGTGCTCGAAATTGCCTTTCAACTGAAGTATTCTTTGATAACACGGCTGTAATGGCTTTTCATGTGCCACCCCTCCGGGGCTACAGCGTTATAGCCACAGTTGTCTTACCTGCCAGTGCTATGTCCTACCCTCCCTGCCAAATAAGTTTCGAGAGTATTTAATGTCCCAGAAGCTGCTGAAATGTTCTCTAAGTATCAATTCACCAGGTATAACCACATTAATAAAACGATTAACATACTTATTAAATATCAATTACTCTAAAGAAAAGAAAATGTCCTCTGTGAAAACAGAGCATTATTTTAAATCTTGCATAATGTCTTGCCCATTATTATGATCAAGTGATATTGTCAAACCTTATTGCTTCTGATTAGGCACCACTGACTGATGAGGTTTAGTCTGAGACAAAAATGTATCAAAGAACTAGAACTTAAGGAATCTGCACCGTCAACACAAAAATGGTCACCCTACCAGGTCTCCTACCTTTTCCTCTACAGAGGAAGAAAATACATGGCACTATTTCTTTTTTAATAATAATAGAGAATAGTTGCTTAAATTACCCAGAACATTTCTACCCTATAACACACTAAACATTTTTATCTAATAGCAACATAAATAAGCTGAACTAAGATGAATGAAGAAGCCTACAGGAAGCCCCTCCCCTCTCACGGTCCCTGGGACTTAAAATTCCAGCAATAGCTTACACATGCTTCAGTTAAGATAGTCTATTGGTACGCGCTTGCTTTCTGCAACCAGAAGAGATTAGTAACATAAACAAAGCATGTCATATTTCCAAAGGCCTGCTGGCCTGCACCAGTTCTCCATACCTTCAGATAGGAACAAAACACATGCTAAGTAAGATTGATTAACTTCTTAGAGGAAAGACTTTAAAGGGGGGAAAAAAAGAGGGTTTGTTTGTAAAACTGGTTAGAAATCTGCTAAAATCCTCCCCCAAAAAGCTGAAGAGTAATACGAAGCAGCTATTTAGTAGTAAATAGTAGCAAACACTAATTATATTCATTTTAATACCTATTGGAAACTGGTGAATCTTGCTTGCTCAATTAAAACGTAACCATTTTTTTGTCTTAGTTATTTAATATGTGTTCACTGCACTAGCTTAGAAGGGTTGGGACGATGTCCTTCCTGGTCCCTTGTGGGAATGGCAACCTCGGAGAAGCTCCTGCCATCTCTTCCTCCGTTGCTTCTAGCACACCGTCCGCTCAGTAATGTGATCAACTAGGAAACAAGCATAACGCTCTGTCTGAACAAATTGTCTGTTGAGTCTGTGTGTGACTAAGAGTCCAGACTACCTGCTTTCAAACAACCAGCGGCAACGTCAAAGCTCCTAGAACTTTACATTTAAATCAGTTTTCAGCTCTGAGATGACCTTTCAATCCATTACAAAAATTGGTTGTAAAATAACTTAAAAGCTGTAAGACTTGGCTTTAGAAGCCTAAGTGCTAATATTCCTTGTATTAAAGTACGCACTTAAGATTCCTATAACTACAGCTGTTCCTGTTCACGTAAATAAATAAATACATGCTCTTCTCCTCCCATACCGCCCCCCATGCTCAATTGGGCAAAGCAGCAATAATAAAGGTTTACATGCAGGATTTTAAATGGGGTTCTACTGGAAAAACATTATTACCAATAAATAGCACGAAAGCAAATATATATGATCCCTACTATACTAACTGAGTAATGTTTCATGTAAAAAAGTGTCAACCTGATGTTGAATACACTCATCCATGTAAACGTTAAACTTAAATCTCTGCGCCCTTTCTGGCAAAAAAAAAAAAAAGCACAGTTTACCAAAATGATATTTGTTATGTGCAGCTTTAACCACATTGTTAACAAATATTTACTATAAGCAAGCACTGCACTAAAATGCACTTTTTAAAAAGGATTTTAGGGCAACCACTTCGTCAGTAGATTTATTCAGTGCGGTGTTAAGCAGACAACTAGAAATGATGAATGCCGTGGGAAATGGGTTCTGATCTCTAGCCGATATTCTACCTGCCTGCCGTTTAAGGGAAACTTTGAAACGGATCAAGAGGGATGAGAAAGACAGTGCCCTGTGGAGGCACAAACCCTGCCTTTCTCAGAGACCAGCCCGCAGTTTGTGTGGTTAGTGCTGGAGCGTGTGGGCCTGGAATCCACCAGAGCTCGTGGCTTTAAAAACAGACTCTCCAAGGTTCCCACTAGCAGGGCTGGAAGGCATCTCGGTCAGGCAGAGATGTGGGGGGCAGGGGCACAAACCTGGCCGGCAGCGGTGGGTCCGCCTTACCAGCCACCAGCCAGGAGGACCGGTGGTAGGCGTAGCGGTACCTCTTGTTGTCCACGGGGACGATGTCCATCAGGACTATGTACTTGGCCTCAGGGTCCACGCCGGAAAACGACACCCGGATGGTAGGGAACATCCTCCTGACACAGGGAGACAAGAGAGTCTGTCTGAGCTCACACACCCAACGGGCTGCCAGCATTGGAGGGAAGCGAGTGTCGGTCCCTGCGTGGCCCTTTCTGTTTCTTGGAAAGCCACTGAGATGGGGATTTAGAGACAGACGGTCTAGAAAATTTTAAGTGTAGCCTTTACAAGAGTCCTTGTGGCTGGGGGTAGGTTGTGTTTTCATTGCAATGAGAACACCTGCAGGTCTGTGATTATGAAAAAGCCTACGGCAGCAGCAAGCCCATTAGCTCCCCAAGCAGCAACTTCCTGGTCTTGTTGGGAGAAAACTCGCTCCCTCCCCAGAAAGCGGGAGGGGGCTCAGGGGACTCTTGAGGTATTTCCCGAAGTCCTGAGAGCTGGAGTGACAGGCCGGGCGCCCAGGGCCGCCAACCTCCGGAGCCTTCACCCCAGGCCCTGGGAGTGCCAGCACCCTGGCTTCCTGCGAGCCCTGAGCCAGCTCAGCTTCGGCGCCAGGGGGCTGCGGAGCCAGTGCCCCCTCCTCCCTAGAGCGCAGTCACTAGGAATTTCATTCTGCCACCCGGGGTTTACTTTTAGTTTTAATGGGAGCTGGAGGCTTCTGCAGATTGAGGCCCATAGAAAGGAAGCTACCTGCCTTCCTTGAAGCACCCAGCCTCCGCTCTGTACCCCTGGTGTCCAATCCTCCTACCCTCCAGGTGCCGAGCCTGCACCCCCAAACCCTCCCAGGCTGCAGGGGACAGAGGTCCCTGGTCCCTGTGCCTTTCTCATCAAGACCGAGGTAAGCTTTTCCACAGCCAGAACTTGAGGAATTAAAAGACCAGCAGCGGTTTCCAAAGCAAACTGGTGGAAAGAAGCCCCCCTCGAGGGAAGCTGCCTCTGGGTCCCAGGACCAGCGGGGATTCCCCCCATTCACCCAATTCCCCCCAACAACCCACGCCACCCAGGGCGCACTCCCATCCTCTGCCTCTCCCCGCCACAGCCCCGCTACCTGCCAGACTTGGTGATGATCATTTCCGTGCCCAGCTCGTGGAATTTGTCCCAGAGCTCCTTGGTTTCCAGGCTGCAGGCGATTTTGGCCATTTCCTCGCTGGGGATGATGGGGGTGGTGGGGATCAGCGGCTCTGTACACAGCGAGGAGGACGGTGGGCTGCTGCCGCCCCCGCTGCCTCCGAACTCCCCATGAGCATCCAGGCTGGTCAGCTCGCCTAGGGGCTGAGCACAGGGTGACTTCTCCACAAATTGTTCTGCAAAAGAATGGACAGTGACAGGCAGAGCGTCCAGCAAAGGCACAGGAAGAGCACCACGGCGAAAATAGGCACCTGGTTTGACTCTGGAAAAGTTAAGCTCAGAAACTCCAGGGAGGCCGCTGGGAATGCATCACGTTCTAAATCAAGCGGGCGACTCCCAGCAGGCTGAGCCACATGAGTGAGTTCCAGAGCCATGGCTTGTTACCACTGCTTCTGTAACCTGCACAGGGGAACAAGCTGTGTGGACTGGAAAGGTGGTGATTGTGATGGACAAAAAGCAAGCGCTCCTGTTTTATCCCTCCCGAGGTCTAGACTCCTCAGCTCCTGGGACCTGGTGCCGGTCCTGCCTCTTTGAAAACCGGGGGGAGTGGAGAGATGAGCTTCTCCCTCGTGTGCAGAGGAGCTTTCCTGCCCTCTTGGAGCCCCCTCTCCAGAGAGAAAATGAACCGTGGGCCGGAGAGAGTAGAGAGGCAGTTAAAAAAAATTAAGTCCCTTCTCTTCTCTGCCTGGCTCTCAGTGTCCTAGGCTTTAAAGGGGTTAGATTAGGGCTTTTGTACAATGTACCTCCCAGCCTGAGATCTTAAAAAACCCCAGCATTTAGCTTGTTAAATCACAGGACTGTAAGCTCTGGGCCATGTCGAGACAAAAAGGTCCTAGAAGTGAGGAAAACAGAGACAAAAAGGTCCTCAAAGTGAGGAAAACAATCAGAAAACCAGGCTAGCAGGAGTATTAAAGCAGGAAGGCAGCTTTGCCATCCAGCAGGAGGCTGAAATACCGCTGCCTACGAACCAAACATTTTCCTCCGCCGCTGATAAGGGCCTGGGACTCCCTCCACCAGTCACTTTGATGGAATACAGGGGGACTTTTGTAATTATCCCAATTATCTTGCATCCCTTAAAAAAGAAACTACTTGAATCTGCAATGTGAAACTGACCTCCAAACAACTCTATTCTAAGTGCCCTCAAGGAATTGAAACAAGTTCTAAATGTAGGGATGTGTGTATATATTTATATACTTATGCGATATCTGTATCGTATGAAATGGTTTTCTTTCTGTATTTCTCCTTGACTTAGGGCAGGAAATAGAGGATTTTTTACCTTTTCTACTTTTACAATAACAGTCCAGCTCCTGGAAGTGTCTTAAATGAAGAATTGTTACATTAATTATCTTATCCTTATATGTTTCAATTCAAAGCAAGAGACCCATGCTATGGCAATGTCTTATTTTCTACTAATATTTTCAGAAGCATGTTCACATACTGTCTTAATAAAGAATTAACAAGGAGCCTTGGAAATTTTATTTTTTGACCATTGAAAAATGCAAACTCTCTAAGCCCCAAACCACCGGTAGAAGACAGTGATTCCAAAATGCTCCAACACAATGGTACGACATGTCGAATGTATCACAGAACAAATTTTTAAAGAAATGCTCCAGCGGTCTCCAGCTGTCCCTCTAAATACACTTAACATGTTCCAGTGCTCAAACAGGGGACACCCTACTTCGCTTCCACTTCTCAGTGGGGTTCCAAACCACATCCTCCCTTAACAGAACCTCTAGGGGCTTCTACAGAGTCCCTGGCTTACAGTTACTAATCACGCTCTCTCGGACGGACCCCTAAAAGGGACAGGAAGGCCGCCTGGTTCTTCCAGAGAGATGCCTACTGACAGTATGTGTGCCGAGGAAGGGGGTGCTGGCTCTGAGCTCGGAGTCGTCCATAGTTTAGAATTTAGGTAGGTGTTTTTTCCTCAGGAAAATCAATAGGCAAGGAAGCAGCACTGAAATGACGGTGGAACTGAAGCTGGCTTGTTTCCCAGCCTGCTGTCTGTACCTCGGTCAGGAATTACAACCTGCAGCCGGCCTTTCCTGCTGGCTCCCAGACTGACACGGGGACGTCTGTAAAGAATCAGGAAGCCCCCAGAACGGGAGTGGGTGATGTAGGGAAGTCCCCTAAACATAACTTTGAGATAGCTAGTTAACCTTTTTTTTTGTTTTGTTTTGTTTTTATGAACAGTTGAGATTTGATTGGTTGTTTCCATTTCTTTGGCCAGTTCAGAGTTAGACCTCAGCGTAGGGGGGGAAAGCCAGGGAATGGGAGTGAAAGTCTTAAAGGGAAGACTTGGGACTTTGTGTTTCCTAGAGCCCTTCCACTTCCTGTTTCCTGGGTTCTGAATTGCTGCAGGGGTTTTAATTCTCTGTTCTCTCTCTGCCTAGCTCATTTTTCCCCATCTCTAGAGCTTCGTCTCTCTTATTGTTGTTATTTTGGATGTGAGATATTAAATTATTGGGAAGGACAGGAAGAAGGAAGGAAAAGTTGGGGAGAGTTCAAAATAAATACTACCCTGTTTGCTTTTCGATGTTTTTCACTGTTTTAGGGCTTCCAGCAGACCAGGATATGAAATAATTATTTCCTGGGGCCCCAAGAGGTGATGAGGAGGCTTTTTCTCAGTTGCAAAGGGGCGCTGAAACACATTTCCGGCAGTTTCTTTCCCACATAATTCACTGGTGCTAAGGGGAACATAATCCCTTTCCTCCTTTACTCCAAGCCTAGAGTCTTCTATAAATGGTAAAGGTTGTTAAATAAACAGTATAGCTAAAAGTTGAGGAATTTGGAAAATGGTTACTGGCTGATGTTTTCGCCAACCTCTACTGAAAATGACGGCGGCTATACAGTGATGCCTTATTGATCAGTCTAGCGCGTTTGTGAAGCAAATGATTCCTGCGAGGAGAGCCGGCTCATTCTACAGCACTCGATGACGTTTTTTAAAAAGCTGGCCCTAGTTAGTCTATCAAGTCGGGGGAAGACAAAATTAAACTAGTTTCTTGTTATGTCACTTGGAGTGTCCTTGGTTTCCACTGCACAAGCAGGTATTATACGCATCATAAATCCTGTTGAGTCTTAGGAGGGGACTTTATTATTATTTATCCTTGAAAGTCTTTATCCCTACAAAGTTACACACCCGCACGCCCTGGGATTGTAGACAAGTAGAGAGCGTCTACCGCGTCTGTGAGATGCGAAACCGGTTGTATAGCAGATTGTGACGCGCCCCCTGCCAAAAAAAAAGTGGGCCTTAAAGGAAAAAGTCTCCTCCTCCCCCCAAAAGTAAGGTCCGTGGCCTTAAGGTCAGCAGCTGCCGCGCGCGAGTGGGAAAAGCGGCCGCACTCAGGAGCCTTGCGCAGCCCGGGGACAGAGGCGCATGGCGATGGGCAGAACCCCGCCTCCGCCCACCGCGAACAGTCAGGCACCCGACTTACCCAGGGGTTTGATGGTGTTCTCCGCCGCCTCCTTCTCCTTGGAGCCACCGCTTGACATGAGCGCGGCGATGGAGAAGGCGTTGGCCCGGGAGGAGAGCTGGGGTTTGGGCGACGCGGTAAACTCCATGACCTCCAGTACGCGGTCCTGGCCAGGGACCGGGCCTGCCGAAGTGCCGTCCAGCTTCCCAAAGGGAGACAAAACCGAAAACAGCGCAAAGTTTCCGAATGCTTTCACAGCGCAGCCGGGGATTCCAGATGAATCAGCCCCAACCTCCCAAGAGCTCCACACCGGCCTCTCCACCACCCCACCGCAAAGCCCTGGAGCCGAAGACACTTCGAACTAGCCGGAGAGGACCGGAGAAGACCAACTGCGGGCTCAACCGGGTGCGCAAGCCCCGGGGCGCGCCGCAAGACCACAGGCTGCGCCGCTGGAAGCTGGTGACGAGCATCAGCTGCGCAAAGCCGAGGGGTCTAGCAGCATCCCCTCAGGGAGGTGGGGATCCGCGGAGCGCCACGGAGAGGGCGCGGACCCACAGCAGGGAGGTCGATCGCCGAGCGGCGAAGCACCGAGGACACTGCGCCCCGGTGCTCTCAGCCCCGCGCCTTAATTTGCTGGCGGCGCCGATGCCCGAGGCCACCAGCCAGTCAGCGCCGCCCCACGTCACCGCTTCCAGATTCCGCCGCCGGGGGCGGGGCCTTCGGGCTGGGCGGGGAGGGCGCGCCCGGGGCGCCGCGCCCTCCTGGCCTCTGGCTGCGACGGGCTGAAAACCTGGCACCCGCTGGGGGACGGGGCTGTCACCAGCAGGCTGGCGCAGCCGCCAGAGGCGTCTGCCTCCCGGTCTCGCGGTCCCGGGGCGGGAGGGAGGTGCGCACTGTCGGGAGGGGCCACGTCTGTGGCGACCTAAATTCCGGGATCCCGGGAGGGGTGCGGTGCGTGAATCTAGGCTGGAGGAATACTCGAGGAGTTTTTGCTTCGTCCAGTATTTTTCTTACCGGTGCTCAAAGTTCCAAAAGAAAGTTGGGAAGCGCTAAGTAGAGAGGAAAGCGGCGCAGCAGAGCTGGTGCCCACGGGCCGGATCCCCAGATCCCATTCTCGGGGGGTAAGCCCCCTGGGCTGAGTCCCCATACTGGGGGGGGGGTTCCATTATCTGCCCGCTTCACCATGGCACTGAGAGGCGCAGCCCCGCAAAAGGTGCGCCAAGGGCGTGCTGCGAGCATCGGGCAAAGAGCGCTGCCCTCGCAGCCAAGGTTTCTGCTGCACACCGGCGTGCCTCTCACCTGGGGTTCGTGTTCCCGAGAGGGACTCAGGAAAGTGGGGCTCCGACCAAAGGGAAGGCCAGGGGCGAACACAGTGCGGGGGGCGGGGGCGGCATCCTGCGGGGACGCGCGGTGGGAGAGTGGGAGCCTTACAGGGCCTGGGCTTGGCGGACACGGAGCCCTCTGCCCTCGTAGTTGGGCGGGGACCGGGACTTCCCACGGCCTGGTGGGGGTCGTCCTGTTGGCCTTGTTCAGCTTGAATAACTCACATTCTCCGAATTCGCAGGGTAATCCGCTTCACTCTGAGCGGTGTAAACTCAGGCGGGCACACACACTCCAGCTGTACATGTAAATATTTGCGCTCCTTCTCAACCAGTCTGTCTGGCGATTAAGGAGCCTCTTGGTGGGTCTTCAATGGGGGAAGGGAGGAGAAAGAAGGAAAATGAAAGAAAACAGCCTACATTTCCCACCAGACTTTTACTTTCTTCACTGCAGCCCCCTTCCCTGGCTCCTGCACTAAACTCTTGGGAGAAAGTTGAACATCTAAGGTTGAGAACATTTATTAAGTAAAACGATGTCACGGGGCAGAGTCGGGATTTAAGCCCGCCTCGTCATCGCCTATCAATAGCTTCTAACAAGACGCTGCCTGGGGGTGACCAAGAAACGAGTCCTGTGATCCGCCTCCCTGCGTGCTGCGTATGTGCAGATGTCGGGAGAAATTCACAAAGTCGTCGACTCTTGCACTGGAAGGAGTTTACGCCGCCGTCTAGTCCATCTCTACTTTCTTTTGAGAGAGAATAACCGGGTCTGGCGCGGCGGAGGGCGCGTGTCCCCCTGCAGTCCGCCCAGCCGGCTAAAGGCAGACCGGCGCTGAGGCCGGCGCCCCGGGCCTCTGTCCTGAACCCCACCTTGACCCGGCAGCTACTCTGGGCTGCTCCCGCGAGGGCGAGGGCAGAGCCAGCGCGGGCTGAGAGCAGACGGCTTTCCCAACGCACCGCGGTAAGACGAGAGGGCCAGTTTCCGTCCTAAGTTTTTTGTCCTTTGCTGTTTTTAGACCACCGCACCCCAACCCTTTGGTTGCTAAAACCTCCCGCCTCCCTCCCCACTCCCTGCCAACTCCACCTCCAAGCCACAGTGACATTTCTTTCGCGTGCAAGGCTGGTTCCTGTCCTGACTCAGATGCTTAGAATTTGGCCGGGAAGGAATATCTGTGTCAAGAGTTGAGGGGGGGATATGTGTTTGCGGGGTTTTTTTTTTTTGGGGGGGGGGCAATGGGGAAATGTCACAGTTAATCTAGAACTATATATGCTTTAATTGGGTGTCGAAGATCTTATCTGCTGGTTTTAGTTATTGGAAACTTATTGTGGGATTATACCTCAATTTAAAAAATTGCCATTGCTGTTCTGCACAGAGGGCATGCTGTATCTTTTCTTTATTGTCTTAACGGTTCGCACGGGAATTTGAAGAATATTGTGCAGGGACATTTGTAGGGAAATTGGCAGAGCAGGGGGGAAGCTAACTGGCCCCTAGTCTGCTACCACTTTCTTTTCTAATCGCCCACTGGGCCTTAGTCCAGCTCTGAGTCTCTGGTACATAGGGAACTTCTGGCTATTCATCCTATTACAGGTAAGGGCCGGTGGGGGGGGGGAGCTAAGCAACCAGGCGGCCAACCTGAGGAATTGAAAAGGCCACGCAGACCCGGGCTTTGAGCCGTTTGGGGATGCCTAACAAGCGATGCATCTTTTTGGTGTTGAAACGGCAGCAGTAGAATGTATATTACAACCTAATTATCAGAGACACAGTGTCCCTTCTCTTAGATTTATTTCCTTTGCAAAGCAATATATTGGTAGTGCTATATATTAAAAAAAAAAAACAAAAACAGCAGCAAGCAGGGAAACGGGACTTAGCAGAGAGATACTGTCAAAAGGTGGCTCCGAGACGTCCGGAAGAGGAGAGCTTGGAATTCTGAGGTCCCCTCAACCCCCTGTGTTAAGATAGGTTAACAGGTAAAGCCACGGAAGAGGCTGGAACAAAGCAACCCGATTAATATTTCCTTCCAGGCCCTTCTCAGGCCAACGGTGGGCAGGCGCGCCATGCTTCCCGACACCGGAAAGTGCCTTGGACTCCAGAAGACTCCGAATCTTCACGTCCACCCGGGTTAGCCCTGAGACTTCGTGTGGGTTCCCTAAACGGTTCAAAGCCTCAGTTTCACCATCGGCATTAAAACAGGGCAAATAATTTATTCCTACCTGGAAAATGGTTTTATGGATTAATGAGGTAACAGGCAGAAAGCGCCCAAACCATTAGCAACCTTAAGTTACCCCGATGTAAGTAACACACTAAGTTAGGGATTTTATTATATTAAATTTTTGAACTGCCCTTTTGCGACCGCAGAGGTGTAGACGATTTTGAAATGTGCACAGAGAATTGGGGGCACGGGGTGATAACGGACTATTGTTTAAATCCTGTTGAACTTTGGAGCCTAGAATTTAAAAAGTTTGGTTATACGTCTGAGTTTGACTACACCGACTTATATGGAGGACTGCAAGATGTCTTATACACGCCACCCTTCCAAATTCTCATTTGTAGCATCCGGAACTCAGAACTTAGTCGACCCCGAAAAATGGTCCTAGAAGCAATCGTTCTCCCGCTTTTGGCCAATGCCCCCCCCCCCCCTAACTTAACTATCGCTGAAGCAGACCCTTCGCTGACAGCGGCGGGGGCCAGTCCCCGGCTAGGAACGAGAGCTGCGCTGAGGTGGTGGGACCGTGTGCAGGGTCCAGAGCACCCTCCGGAACCCGGCGGTGGACGCCGGACACAAGCTGGGAAAGCAGCCCAGCTTCTCCGCAAGCGGGTAGCGGCTCCCGATCGTAGAGGGACATCCCGCCCCCATCCTCTCTTCCACTCTTTCTGGTAAACGTTTTAAAAGCACAGCGAGGGGCCTCGGTGTCGTTGGACTTCTATATTCGGTTTGCCGCACAGAAAGACTCCCGAAGCAGCGCCGGGAGGGAAGCCGCAGCGGTTCGCAAGCTGCTGTTGCAGGTCCCCGTGGCGCGCGGAGAGTAGGCGCGCAACGCCGCGTCTGGCGGGGAACGCGCGGCGCGGCCTCGGATTTCGGCCTGGGCGGAGAGGGCGGGTCCCAGCCTTGGAGGAACCGCGGCCAAGGCTCAAACACAAATGCTAGCAGGGTTGGTTAAGTTTTCTTGACCCCCAAACTGGTCCCCGAGATGCACCCCTTCCAGCCCAGGCAGCAAGCACTGGCGCAGAAGGGAGGACCCCGGGCGGGGCCTCTCGAGGCGTCCCCGCCCAATGCCTGCTGTAAGGGCGAAGCGAAGATCTGCTCCTCTAGGGGCATGGCCCGAATGTGTCACCTGACGGTCCCCGGTGGTGTGTGCGAGCACGCTGTCGGACCGAGAAAAGGGACATCGTGTGCGCAGAGCAGTTATCACCCATTTCCAGAGCCCTGTCCTCAGGTGGTGAAGGGAAAGGACCACTCAGGCCGGAGCCCGGGTACCGTGACATTGCCTGTCCTAGGCCTCCTCTGGTTCCCACCGGAGGCAGTGCTTGGCCTGGGGGCAGAGGTCAGGCGCCAGGCCCCAAAGCCTCCTCCCAGGACGCCCCCTCTAGGCTGTGACCCTCCCGCTCCACCCAGTGACCGCAAGCCTCCAGGTTCTCCTCCAAGAGCTCTCGAATGCAGGGACCTGCCCTCCGCGCCCTACGCCTTGGGATACGGGAAGAACCGGTGCGCTACAGCTGGGTGCAGAACTCAGCGTGACCCCAAGAACAGCGAAGAAAGATCTCCTCTGCCCCACTGAGCCCCAGGGGTGCAGATCGCTCTCCGCCACCGCTCGCCCTCTTTCCTCCTTTCCCCTGCGTGCTCCCGCCTTCCTTCTGCAACCCACCTCTTGGGACGTCGATGCCTCACCCTCCCCACCGCCAGACAGCCCACGGACCCTGTCTCTATTTAAAGCTCAGATATTTTGTCCATCGTGAACTTTGTTGCATGAGATTTGCTTTTTAAAATTACTGCATTAAAATATTGTTTCTTGATTACTGAGGGTTTTTTTTTCTTTTGCCTCTCCTTAAATTTTGGGCTCTCAGAGGGTTAAGAATTTGATCGACATGGTGTTGATGCTAAGCAGTAGGACAAGGATTCCAAGGCAAATTTCTAGCTTCGAAAGCAGCGCCGCTGCTGCCATCACCTCCTGCACTACACTGATTAAGCGGGAACTCCCTCCAGACGAAAGTACGCCGACAGAGGACCCTCCCCTGCTTCCGGGTGAATGCCCTGTAGGCAGGTGACCAGCCCTCCCGTGCAGACTCGCGGGGCCTGCATGGACAGGGCAG